GCTATTCTGTAGGACCTTCTTGTTTATCTATTTTATATATAATAGTTAGTGTCTGCAGATCTCAAACTCTCAATTTATCCTTCCACCCCCCCCCCCGCTAACCTTGTTTGTTTTTATGTCAGTGAGTCTGTTTCTGTTTTGTAAATAAGATCATTTGTGTCCTTTTAAGGATTTCACATATATGTGATATCATATGATTTTGTCTTTTTCTGTCTGATTTACTTCACTTAGTATGATAATCTCTAGGTCCATCCATGTTGCTGCAAATGGCATTATTTCATTCTTTTTTATGGTTGAGTAGTATTCAGTTGTTCATATATACCACAACTTCTTTATCCAGTCATCTGTCAATGGACATTTAGGTTGCTTCCATGTCTTGGCTATTGTAAATAGTGCTGCTGTGAACACTGGGGTGCATGTATCTTTTCTAATTAGAGCTTCCTCCAGATAGATGCCCAGGAGTGGGATTGCTGGATCATAGGGCAAGTCTATTTTTAGTTTTTTAAGGAATCTCCATACTGTTTTCCACAGTGGCTGCACCAAACTGCATTCCCACCAGCAGTGTAGGCGGGCTCCCTTTTCTCCACACCCTCTCCAGCATCCATCACTTGTGGATTTTAATGATGGCTATTCTGACTGGTGTGAGGTCACGTACCTGATCTTGATGTACAGATTTCTAGGACATGAACTTGGATCCTTGCTTTGTTCACTCAGCAAAGAGCTATTAAGCACCAGCCACACACACAGCATTATAGACACTGCCTGGTCCCTCCCTCAAGGAGCAAGACAGACAAGATCCTGCAGCTCTAAGGAAGGAGGGTGCACACAGCTCAGCCCGAGGCAGACATCCTTTCTTCTCTTTCTACGCCTGAAGGCCTGGCCTGGTCTGGCCTGGGGCTGTGTGCTCTCAGGGGCTGGCCCACCCTTTTCTCTTTGAGGTCCAGAGCTAAATATAACCAAGAGAGCAAAGTTAGTGATAAGCCAAGGCCTGTCTGGGCCTGAGTTCTGTTGAGGCCTACAGTATTGTAAGGCCTGGGCCTGGCCAGCCCGGGAGATGTTGGTGTCTCCTTGTGCTATAGGCCTGGCTGACCTCGCACGCAGAGTCTGCGCCTCCCCCACTATTTATAGCCCCAGAGGCCCTGGGAGGGTAATGTGGAGGCAGAGAGGAAAGACTTGCTTTTGATATTGGCTCCACCAATTAAAAAAAGAAAAACCACATGACTTAGCGACTGATGTCACTAAGCCTCAGTTTCCCCACCTGTAAAGTAGGGGTGACAGTCCATATAGATACTCGTGGAGTCTGAGAATCACACAGACGTGAAAAGTAGCAAGTGCAGCTTCTGTGACTGAGCAGTGGGCTCCCCAGACCCGGCCACTTCCGGGCCTCTGGGCCCTGGGGTTTCCTGTGGCAAAAAAAGCCAGGGTCTGCAGGGCAGGCTGGCTGGGCGCTGGGGAGTTCTGTTTAGGTCTGTCGAGCAGAGGGTACCAACAGTTACGGCCGCAGGTATGAAGTGTCAGATGTCCTGGTTGTACACCTCAGACTGACTAATGAGTAGATTCTGAGTGAAAGAGTGAGTGTGTGTGTGTGTGTGTGTGTGTGTGTGTGTGTGTGTGTGTGTGTGTGTGTGTGTGTGTGTGTGTACACTTTATATATCATCCTTAAACAATTTCTGGCCCCAGAAGACGCGCAGTGCGAGTTGCGCACACGTGTGTCTTATTTATAGTCAAAATTAAAGCTGCGAATAAAGCACAGATGGGAAATTCCCACTCAGATTCCAGCTGTAAGTGCAGCAGATGGATGTTATCATGTTAGGATTTTCTTGTCTTAACATTTTTCTTTACTTCCCACTAATTGTCAACATCCTCCTCACAGTATGGAAATGTGTGGGCGCTAAATAAAAATTTTACTCCCCAAAAAAGTTCTCCCTTTGACACTTAACTCCTCATTTCCTTGCCTCCGTCTGAAAATAGGGTTGAATCTGACCCATTTTGAAATGTCATCGATCGCATATCTTGTAACCCTAATCAGCCACCAGGGTTGGAAGTTGTCCCTAAGTGGGCTGGCAGTGTGGGAAGCCGCCATCTCCATGTTCAACCATGAGGGGGCAGTGTTCACATTCGCTCTTTGGTCTACCTGTGAGTAGCCTGTTTCCATCGGTCCATGTGAAATGCTCTTACGGATTTTTTTTTTTAATAAATGCCAGATTGTTTTTTTAAAGCAAATATACAAAGCTTATGTATATGGTTTTTGGAAGATGTTTCACAAAGGACCTTAATTTTCACTGTTAAACAGTAAGGCAAGCTTGTATTCTCCACTTTGCTTAGCTGACAGCCAAGGAATTAAATTATTAGAACAGCCTTCAAGTGATTGTTCATTCAAGTATCTACTGAGCATCTTACTTTGTGCCAGGCACTATGTTAGGGATACTCAGGGAACAAAACACAGACTCCCTGTCGTCATGGAACTTGCAGTATGTGGGGAAGGGTGGGCAGGTGAGAAACAGCATACTAGAAAACAAACTTGTGGTTACCAAAGGGGAGAGGGGAGCGGGGGAGGGACAAATCAGGGCTATGGGATTAACTACTATGTATAAAACAGATAAGCAACAAGGATACATTGTATAGTACAGAGAATTATAGCCATTGTCTTGTCATGACTTATAATGGAGTATGACCTGCAAAAATACTAAATCTCTATGCTGTACACCTGAATCTAATATAATATTGTCAATCAACTATACTTGAATAAAAGCAATTAACATACTAAATAAATCACTTATTACATTAGGGAATAAGTGTTTGGGGGAATGTGGAGCCAGCTAACAGAGAACTGGAATATAGGCATGGGGGCAGGTTTGGTCTCATGCAGGAGGAAAGATCAGAGCAGAGTGGATGGCCCGGAGAAGAGGGTCCAGCTGGAGCAGAGGACTACGGTGGGAGCATGTGTGGCCTTGTGATTTATAATAAGAAATATATATTTGGTCTTTGTTCTGTTCCTGGCACAGAGGTCCTAAAACCCCTGGAATTTCCTGCAGTGAGAGTGATAAAGTTGTCCTTAGTTACATTCTTGAGGTGACTTTGGGAGAGCACTAATTAAGGATGGGGTTGGTACCAAGGGAACCAACTGTGTGATTAGGCGATTGGAACTTACAGTCCTGCCTCCTAGTATCCAGGGAGGGGAGCAGGGCTGGAGGTTAAGTTTAATCACCAATTGTCCATGACCTCATCAATCCTGACTATGTAATGAGGCCTCCATAAAAACCCAGAAAGGATGGGGTCTGGTGAGCTTCCAGGTTGGTGAACAAGTGGAGACTGGGCAGAGTGCTGCCCTTTGGGAGGGCATGGAAGCTCCGCCCCGTCTCCCCATACCTGGCCCCGTGCATCTCTTCCACCTGGATGTTCCTGAGTTACATCCTTTTATAATAAACTGGTGATCTAGTAAACTAAACGTTTCTCTGAGTTCCGCTCTAAAGCCAATTAATGGAACCCCAGGAGGAGGGCTCGGTGGAAACCTCCCATCTATAGCCTGTTGGTCAGAAGTGCCAGTGACAACCTGGACTTGTGATTAGAGTCTGAAGCTGGGGGTGGGAGGCGTCTTGGAGGACTGAACCCTTATCCTGCGTGATCTGACACCAGCTCCAGGCAGACAGTGTCGGAATGGAGCGGAATTGTAGGACGCCCAGCTGGTGTTAGAGAACTGCTTGGTGGTGGCGGGGGGGAACCTCAGAGTCAGAGCATGATTGACTGGCACATTTGGGGACTAGCGCGGAAGCCACTGTGGCTGGAGCAGAGCGTGAGGAGTGGGAGAGAAGTAACACAGGTGGTCAGAGAGACGGGTGGACAGTATCGTTAACGAATGGCCTTGTATGTCACTGGGAGGGTTGGCCTTACACTCTGAGGGACATGGGGAGCCTTCAGAGGACTTGGAGCAGAGGAGTGACTCGATGTGACTTGTATGTTGATGACAAAGTGAAGGGGATACGAGCAGAGCGGGGAGACCAGTTACGAGGACAGTGGCAGCCACCCAGGTGGCAGGTGCTGGTGGCTTGTACCGGGCTGGTGGCAGTAGAGGTGGTGAAAGGTAGTCGTAACCTGGATGTATTTTGAAGACAGACCCACGGGACAGAGCTTCCTGAAGGAATGGACATCATTCTTGAAGGAAAGAGAGCAAAGACTGAGATTTTTGGCCTAAGGAACTGGAGGAGGAAGAAGGTCAGGAGTTGGGTTTTGGACACGCTGGGTCTGAGGTGTCTGTTAGACACTCAGGTCAAGGTGACAGGTAGGCAGGCGGCTGTGTGAGTCTGGAGTCTGGGACAGCAGTCGGGGCCAGAGGCGTGAGTTTGGGAGTCTCTGGCGCACAGGTGGAATTTAAAGCCACGAGGTAGGGTGAGATCACCCAGAGATCTGAGT